AGACCCTTCTCAGAATAATGGTTTTAAAATGCATAAAATAAAATACATTCAACTAAAACAAAATACAGATATCAATTTTTTTTTAAAAGTTCAGGGGCAGCTAGGTGGCACAGTGAATAGAGCACCAGCCCTAGATTCAGGAGGACCTGAGTTCAAATCTGGCCTCAGACACATAACACTGACTAGCTGTGTGACCCTGGTCAAGTCACTTAACCCCATTGCTTAGCCAAAAAATTAAATTAAATTAAAGTTCACAGACTCTAAGTTAAGAGTATCTGATCTATCCCAATTCCTTCATTTTAGAGATAAGCAAACTGAGACATAGTTTGTCCAAAGTCATAGAGGCAATATGTAGCAGAGCAGGGATAATACAGGCAAGGGGAATTAATAGCAATTAATATTAAAGGAAATAATCAATAAAACTGAATAGATGTATTGTGAATCATTCTTTTGAAGTTTTCAGCCAGTTCTATGAATCCTACATAATTGTAAACCCTGGACAGTCTCAAAAGTATGATAGTTACAAGCAGAGTAGCAGAAATATCTATGAATTTTCATGATTAAGGATTCTATCCCACCATGGCCCAATACTGGGCTTGATCTTCAGATAGCCAAAATATTAATGTATCATTTTCACCAAGGAATTATGCTCATTGGACATCAAAAGCATCTTGAAAGTAAAAAAAAAAAATGACTTAATTCTTCCAAGTGTTTTCTTTGTGTACTAGAGGACTCATCTGTCTTAAACAAACTAAATATTTTGGGAGCTTCTCACTCTTTGGGGGAGCTTGGCAATCTTCTCATAAGTTGTTTTTTCACAAAAGCCACTGACAGTAAAAGAACTTCAAAAATATTATTTGTCAAATGAGTGTACCTCACACACATGAAACCTTTAGAGGAGGCCATTTGATATTTTTATAATGTCAAATGGGCAAAGCCTCTTGATATATCAAGAAACAACTTAGAGAAAAGGGCTTTTCAAGACCATCTTCCAAAGCGAGAGAAAATATTATTCTCTCATAACATCTCTCTTTCTCTGAAATATTTCCATGCTGTACTACTAGATATTTCCATGACTTATTAGATTTCCATTAGGAAATAAGAGACAAGTAGAGAATTTGATTTTTGGAAGCTAAGGTTAAAAGGGGGAGAAAGAGTACATTAATTAGTGTGTTCCCCTTTAAGAAAAAGCAACTTCCCATCAAATTGAAATTTCAAGTAAATTCTTATAGCCTTGATATAGCTAGATAATACATCTGTTTTATAGACTACTCAATTTTTTATCACTAAATTTTAAAATGAGACTATGTTGCAAAACTATGTTAATATTTTATAAAGCTTTGCTGAATTTCATGGTATCAAAATACACGCATTCCAGCTTCTGTGAGTTCCATTGATGATAAACAAACCAACTTCCTTTTCTATGACTGTGTGCATTTCACTTTTGGCCATCACTGAAACACAAAGCATACCTTAGATCCTTGGGACTTTTACGCTCTGTTTTCCATGTTTACTGCTCTGTCTCTTCAAGATTTAATCCTAGTCATTATAGAATTTCTTAAAACTACACATTTGATCTAAATATTTGAATGTTTATATAAATGACAACTCCCTCCATCATCTAATATAAAATATACAGAACCAGCTCTGAGTTATTCTTTTATCTCCAAATCTCTAGGGAATGAAAAGAACTAGGTTGCTTGGGTAGGAGCAGATTCTACATTTTCATAATGTTACATGCTAGTTATGCCCAGGTACACTGTCATTTTAAATTGTCAAAACTAAACTTTTGGAAATTGAGATACCAGGATAGAAGTTAGTGCACTGCTTACCCACAAAGCACTCAAGAGACTCAGAAAAATGAAGTGATTCTATCCCTGGTCGGAGAAATGATAGCACTAGCAGCCAAAGTCTACAAACAAATATTTATATCTAGGTATCCTTACCTATTTCTTATAATTAGCAAAAGTGTTTTTAATATTTAACTAGTAATCTCTTTATGAATTAAAAAAAATTGTTGAGAAAAAAGGCATTTTACTAAAAGACAAAGAAAGTTGTCTTGTAAGAAAAACTTATTGCATACTGACTTTGTACCCTGCAGTCTACTAAGGCAATGAGGGAGATTTTAAAAAAAAAGTATAAATATGCATCCCAGACATCAAGAAACTTGCAGCATTATTATCTATTCCATAGAGGCATCCCTGATCCTAAATACTATTTCCTGACTTTCTTTACTGAAGAAAAAGCATAGCAATTTATATATTTAGTTACCTTTATATTCAACCAATATACTATTACTGTTACAAGATTGCCATTAGTTAATATCACCACTAGTGTAGAATCAAGCATCATATAATCAAAAAATGTTAATCATCTTAATTATCATTATTAAAGATGATAAAAACAAAAATCAAACTTTTATTGTCACTAAAATAGTGCACTTGACAACCATGATGTCTAACTGCATATGTCATCCCAAATACTTTGTGCCAAAGACAGTTTTCTCAGTATCTCAACCATGAAATTCACTTTAGAACTTAAAATGGCTCCATAACAACCATTGTATTGGGATTGAAATCTTCAGTTTTCAATATTTTATACCAAGTAATCTTAACTATTCTTTCTCTATTTGCTACTTATATAATTTATTTTATCTAATTGTACTACTCTATTAAAATTTCCAAATTTGAATCCAATTCCATTTCTTCTATTAATTGCTAAGGTAATTCTCCCTTCCAGTTCTAACAAGTTCTATCATTTCTTTCTTTTCCATGTACCTGAAATGACCTAGAATCTTCCCAGTGGAACTAAGATAGCAATTTATGTCTCAAGTCCACAAATCTGTTTCAGTACTCAAGATCTTCAAATTCCATAAACATTTAAAACCATGTATATTGCAAAAAAAAAAGTCATTCATTATTTGATTATAGCTTTATCACTGGCTCTTCCTTTCTGAACATAAAATTACTTTGTTTATGTCTGCAGAATTGTTATAGTAAACATCTGGAAAACCAGATGTGAATAGACACATTAAGTGGAATGTTTACTGTATACATTTAAGAATAAAGTAAGTTAACCAGAAACTTTATTTCACAACAGAAAATGAGGCAGATGAGACAAATTGATGATTTTTCTATAACATAAGGCAAATAAAACAAAAGAGGAAGTAAGCAAAGGCAACATGATATGGGACATAAAGAAATGGACAGGGACATGGAATTCAAATTGTACCTGAGATATGTACTAGGTGTGTGACCTTGTGCAAGCCATAACCTCTTCGAGCCTGAGATTCCTTATCTTAAAAGTTGAAAAAGGGAGAGGAAGGGAAGAGCTTGGTCACTACATCCACACCCTCCCCTCTACTCATGCACATGGACCAAATAGTTTCAGTCTTGGAAAAACCAGCCTCTAAAAAGAAGCATTGGAGTTTCTTTTCTTGTACTCTTAAGCTCATTTAAAGTTCTTCCCTGGCACCTTGGAGAAAAAGAACCTAAGTTTAGGCCCATACTTAAGATTTCTCCCAAAGGCGGAGTAGGAAGGGATTCAATGCATTATGAACAGATATAGGGTCAATTTATTTACTTCTTACAAACAAAAGAAATACTAAAAGATGACAAAAAAAAAATTCACAGGATACATTGGCAGAATCACTCAAAATATGATGCAATAATTCAACTTATACATACTATTACATTTTCCTGGGAGGTCAATATTATTACCTCATAAGAACATAAAGTAGTTATCAGGATTCCATAACAGACACTGTTATGTTCTACCTTGATTCTGCACTGTCTAAACAATTCCCAGTGAAAGTCTTCCTACACAATGGACTAGCTGTGTGCCCATCCTTTTATTGACAGTCATATTTTCCATGAGCACTATAGCAATTCATAGGGACTCTGTCCTAATTTGCCAATTAGTTCTGGCCAAAAAGACCTGGGACCTCCTGTCCTTTAGAGCTCACAAGGTTACCTCCAAACCTGTGCGTGCCCATCTTTAGAGAAATATTTATTCATAAGATAAGGAAAGAATAAAGACAAAATAGACATCTCTAAAAGTAAGCTTAGACTTTCCTATGGCATGCATATTATCTACCATGTGCCCATGGACAGACTGAAAGAAAAATGCTACTCCTCTCCTGTGCACCAGCAACAACCCAGCTCATGTCAGGTCTGACATGATCCACAATCAAAGGGGGAAAGGATCTGAGGTTGGTGACAATTCCTTTTAAATATAAACTACTTCATTACCTCTTCCTGCTCAGTGGTCAGTGAAGAAGCTGACTAATTACCTCTAAATGCCAAGCCCTTTCCCCACTGAGCAACCAAATAGCCAGAAGCAGCCAGCAAGTTCATCATACTCAAAGGTCCAAATGCTTTGTCACGATTTGTCTGGAATCCCCAAAAGTGTCCAAAGGAGCTATGGGTACTGGATCTCTGGGACAGTCTCTCTAGTCTAATGGCACTCCCACTACAGAAGTGTCTATAAGGTGGCCTAATTTTACAATCTTATTTATGTACTAGTTTTCTCATCTGTAAAATTAAGAGATTGGACTTGATGTCTTTTACTGTTCCTTCCAGTTCTAAACTTATAATCATAAGAAAAAGGAAAACACAAAGATTGGAAAAGGCTCTGAAAAAGCATCATGCATGGGAAACTTAGAATATGGCTTCCTTGTTGGATTTTTCTCCAGGCATAACTTCCTGAAGCAAAGGTGAAACTTGGTCAAGTTATTTATAGTATTATGATGTAAAAATACATTTATCTGGAGTTTGGTGACTTTCATCAAAAGGGCACTAAATAGAAACATTAAAAGTTATGTCCTAGGTAGAGCTGACAAACCAGGTACCATAGAGACTAGCAAGTTAAATTCGGGATAGGAGAAGACCAGACCAGTAATTAATATGACACACTTTCTAAGAAGAGGGCCAGCAATAAAATCCTTGGCATCAGCAACACATGCACAATACCACAAAGTAAGTGAAACTGAAGTACTCAACTCCATGTACAGAACTCCATTTTGGTTTCTGACCTCCATCTTGTATGCCCTCCTTCACGGAAGTAGGAGTTCCCACCTTAGAAGTTCCCGCCTTTGGAGTTCCTGCCTTAGAAAACCTGCCAGGAAGGATATCCGCCCAATCTATTTCATGATCCTTATCTGGTCCCAAAAGCAGGATTAACCAATTGCTTGTTTGGCTTCTGTAACTTCTCACTTATGTGATCCCTGACAGTTTACTCTGTGGCTTCTGCCTTTATAAACCCAAGCTCTACCCCTAATCGGGGCTGCTCAATCTGGGTGTGTACCCCTTGCAGCCGCGCTAATAAATCCACATTTCAAATTGTGTCTCGGTCTCCCTCACTGATTTTGGTACATTTTGGAGGCCCCAGCGAGATTCGTGGAGCACTGTGTTGCTGCAGAGACCCACCTGGGGAGGACTTCGGCCTTGGGAGGGAGGGATTGCTCTGTTCTGAGTTTTAGGGGAGCCAGCCCCTGAGACGTTCCAGGGCCCCAGAACTCAGGGCTGGAAAAAGCCTCCCTCCCCGACTCCGACTGTACCTCATTTTGGCCCCGTGGATCCTGGACCTGGTAACCCTCCGGAGGTGAGTATACCCAGATTTCCGTTCCCTGGTGAAGAACGAGTGCCAGACGCAGCAGTAGCGCTTAGCCCCTCTATCTCCTGGGCACTCGAGAAGTCGGGACCACGCCCGTATCTGGTTCCTGGCTTCTGTCTTAGTTGTGTTGGTCTATTAGTTTATATGTGTAGAGATTGTGTTTTTAAGAGGTTCTGTTTCGGGGTCATCCATCTGAAGCCACCTCTATTTCATACTGAAAGGCAGGTGTCAGACTGGATCGCAGACAGTTTTCTCCAGGGCAGTTCCTCTGACTTCCATTGGGAAGATGTGTTTGTGTTCAGGCTTTTATTGTCTACCTGTGTCTGTGTTCTGCGATAATGGGGGGTTCGGCTAGCACATCCAAAACCCCTTTGGTGTTGTATGTTGAGTCATCTTAAGGAAGTATATCAGGAAGGGGCGGATTATGGTATTACACTCAAAAAATTGCAACTTACTCTGTTCTGTATGAATGAGTGGCCAACCTTCGGGGTAGGATGGCCACCACAAGGTAGTTTTGACAAACAAGTGGTGACTGATGTTTAGAAAGTTGTTACTGGAAACCCTGGATACCCTGATCAGTCTACATATATTGATATCTGGCTGACCCTTGTAACTTACCCCCTTCCCTGGTTAAAACAGAAAGGCATCAGAGTGCTAGTTGCTCAGCCACAGAAGACTTCTTCCTCTAGTGACCCTCCTAAGGTTCTTCAAGAATCACAGGAAGATTTTCCCCCTCCCTATGACCCCGGCCCTCATAGGAATGGCCCCCAATCTCCTCCAAGATTGTATCCTCCTTTGCCTCTATCTGCCCCACTACCTGACTCTCTGGCCTTCCTGTATCACCCCCTAGCCCTTTATCACCCCCACACACATGGATGGGGGCCAATTACCACCATGATGACAAACCTGCTCCTGCAGTCCTTCCCCTCTGGGAAGCACCTAACCCAGAGGGTAACCCCTTTCTAGTCTATGTCCCTTTTTCCACTAGTGACATCTATAATTGGAAGGCACAGATTCCCTCTTTCTCAGAAAAGCCCCAAGCTTTAATTGGATTATTAGAATCAGTTTTCCACACTCATAGACCCACTTGGGATGACTGTCAACAACTTCTCACCACTCTCTTCACTACTGAAGAGAGGGAGAGGATTCGAACAGAAGCAAGAAAGGCTGTCCTGAAGCTTGGTGGAAGGTCAGTGGAAGAACATAGGGATGATGTGGACCGGGTTTTTCCACCCACATGCCCAAGATGGGATCCAAATACTGCTGCAGGGAGGGACGCCTTAGACACTTACCACGCTGTTTCCTCCAAGGCCTCAAGGCAACAGCTCAGAAGCCCACAAACCTCTCCAAGGTCTCAGAAGTTCTGCAAGGTCCTCAGGATTCCCCAGGGGCCCTCCTTGAATGTCTCTACAATGTGTATCTCACGTATACCCCTATAGACCCTGAGGCCCCAGAGAATGCTCGAGCCCTGAATGTAGCTTTTGTCTCCCAATCTGCCCCAGCCATTAGGAAGAAGTTGCAGAAACAGGAGGGATTTGAGGGCATGAACATGTCCCAACTTGTAAAAGTAGCCCAGAAAGTTTTCAATACCAGAGACAGTCCATCTGAGAAGTCCAATAAGCACCTAGCCAAAGTTTTAGTAGCAGCCCTTAAAGAGGCCCTGTCTTCTTCGCAAAAAAGGGCCGAGAGGTCCCCACCTGGCTTTATTTAGAGACCAATGTGCTTATTGAAAGGAAATTGGACACTGGAAAAAGTGAGTGTCCGAATAAGAGACTTCAAAAACCCCGAAGTATTTTACCCCTAGGAGATTGAAGGGGTCCAGGGTCTTTCTCGCTTGACCCCTGTGAACCCTGGGTAAAGCTTAAGATTGCGGGGTCACCTGTCGATTTTCTGGTAGATGCTGGGACTGCCCATTCTGTCTAACCCATCCCCTTGTGGGGGGCTACAGGAAGTCCTGCCCATGGACTTCCGAGCGTACAGTTGATTTGGGCCAGGGTACAGTTACTCACTCATTTCTTGTTATGTCCGACTGCCCCTACCCCCTATTAGGTCGTGACCTGCTCCAGAAGCTTCAAGCCACCATATCCTTCAGGGGAGATTCAGCTTCACTTGACCTCTCTCAGAACTCTACTACTGATTCTACTCCCTCTATACTTGTCACTTTACCTCTGTCCTCTGAGTTTCTGCTGCATGAGGCTGCCACTATGGGTGATGTCAGTCCACATTTGCAGGATCTTCTTGCTTCCTTCCTTGGTGTGTGGACAGAATCCAACCCTCCAGGACTGGCCTCTCACCATCCCCTGGTAGTGGTCTAACTGTTAGCTACTGCTTCTCCTGTGTCAGTCTGTCAGTACCCCATGTCGGCCAAGGCTCATCAAGGCATAGCGGTCCATATCTCTCAGCTCAAAGAGGCTGGTCTTCTTGTTCCCTACCATTCCCCTTGGAATACTCCCCTTCTTCCTGTTGTAAAGCAGAGACCTCTGATTGTAGGCCTGTATAAGTGAATAATCGGGTGGAGACCATGCACCCCATGGTCCCTAATCCCTATACCCTGCTCCTACCTGCTGGACATTCAATTTACACAGTCCTCAATCTTAAAGGCTTTTTTTCATCTATCCCTTTGGCCCCCGCTAGCCAGCAAATCTTTGCCTTTACCTGGATTGATCCTGGGGGTGGCTTTTCAGGCCAGCTAACATGGACCCGCCTGCCTCAGAGCTTCAAGAACTCCCCAACACTCTTTGATGAGGCCCTACATAAGGACCTTCAGTCATTCCATGCCTCTAATCCAAATGTTCCCTTATTCAGTATGTTGATGATTTGCTCCTTGCCGTGCCCTCTGAAGCTCATTGTCTACAAGCAACCTGCTCCCTCCTCTCGCTATTACAATCTCTGGGCTATAGGCATCCTTTGAGAAAGCGCAGATCTGCCAAACTTCTGTGAACTACCTCAGATACCTTCTCTCTGAAGGTAAGTGCTCACTGTTTAACTCTAGAGTCCAGGCCATCCTTGACATCCCCACCCCGACTACCAAGAAGCAGGTGCGCCAATTTTTAGGTACTATTGGTTACTGTAGACTATGGATCCTTGGGTTCGCCAAGATTGCCAAACCTCTTTATTCTACTACAGCTGGCTCTGGCCCACTTCAGTGGTCAGCTGCTGAACAGCAGGCTTTGACTCCCTGAAACAGGCCCTCCTCTCTGCCTCTGCCCTTGCCCTACCTGACATTACCAAACTTTTCCATCTCTTTGTTGCTGAATCTAAGGGGGTAGCCAAGGGTGTACTCACCCAAACTCTTGGCCCTTGGCAACGACCAGTGGCTTATCTGTCTAAGCATCTTGACCCCGTATCGTCAGGGTGGCCACCCTGTGTCCAGTCACCCTCCAAGGCACTCCTCCTGAAAGAGGCAGACAAGCTTTCTCTCGGATAGCCCTTCTCTATCACTGCGCCCCATGCTGTGGAGGCTCTCCTCCACAGCACCCCCGACCGCTGGCTTTCCAATTCTCGCCTCACTCAATATCAGGTTCTCCTTCTTGTCCAGCCCCGCCTTACCTTCTCAAAAACCTCCGTTCTAAATCCCTCAACTGGCTTCTCCCCGATCCTGGTCCCCATCCCTTTGACGCCCCCAACCATAATTGCTTTCAGATCTTGGATGAAATTCAGTCTGTCCGTCCCGACCTCTCCGATAGGCCGTTGTCCAATCCCCAAATGACCCTTTTCACAGATGGCAGCAGTTTCACTGATTCTGGTCTTTGGGCCCAAAAGGCTGAACTTGTCACCCTGACCCAGGCCTTACGTTTGACTACTGGCAGTTCAGCGAACGTCTACACTGACAGCCGCTATGCCTTCGCTACAGCCAAGTACATGCAGCCTTGTACTGTGAACGAGGTCTCCTGACCTCAGCGGGGAAAACTATTAAAAATAAGGAGGAAATTCTGGCCTTATTAGAGGCTGTCTGGCTACCCACTAAGCTGTCCATCATTCACTGCCCTGGTCACCAATCAGGGAACTCTCTAGAGGCCATGGGAAATTGTGCGGAGACAGGAGGCCCTGGGAGTTCTACCTGAGTCTTGTGTTGCCCCCTTATGTCCTGTTTTCGAGGCACCCCCACCCTCTTACTCATCCTCGGATGATTCCTTTGCAAAACAAAACGGAGGGAGTAAGAACAACCTTGGGTGGTGGGTCCTCCCTGAAGGGCGAGTCTTTGTCCCAGAAGCACTGGGAAGAGAATGGGTCACATGGTTACATCAGATCACCCACCCAGGGACACATAAAATGGGCCTACCACTGAGAGACAAGTATTTTATCCCACACTTGGACAATCTCCTGGCCAGTACAACCGCCCGGCGTGGGACATGTGCACAAGTTAATGCAAAGCAGGGGAAAATTACCCCCATGGGGATCAGGCTACGAGGTTTGCAGCCAGGAGAATATTGGGAAGTTGATTTCACAGAAGTAAAACCCCCAGCAGCAGGCCGTAAGTATCTTTTGGTTTTTGTGGATACTTTTTCAGGGTAGGTGGAGGCTTTCCCTGTAAAACATGAAACAGCCATAGCAGTAGTAAAAAAGATCCTGAATGACCTCCTCCCACCTTTCGGTCTCCCGACTGGCCAGGTTCTGACAATGGCCCAGCATTTATAGCAAAGATATCTCA